TGAGGGCGGTGTGACCGGTCATCATAACTTGACCTGTTGTTAATCGAATCAGTGAAATTGAATATGTGGATGGCGTTTGTGGCCGGTATATTTTAAGTTTAGCGATTCTGTTTTCTACTCTTTCTCGGTGACGATGATAATGTTCTTCGAACCGTTGAAGATTCGTTGCTGTTTACTATTTTGTTTGTGACCGTGTATGACCTTGCTGTTTGTGACTATTGCTGTTTACTATCCTGCTTTCCACAAACACTTAGAAAGACAGAAGACGTCAAGAGCTAAAACAGTGATACAGAAAGCACCAGCCATACACTAACAAAGAAAACATAGAGTCAGAGACAGAAAGAGCGAAGTGAGATTCTTCATTGGGGTTGCTTCCTGACTTTTTTCGCGGGCGGAGCTGCGCTGGCTGCACCTGCTTGTCTGGTTTAAAGTTTAAACGTGTGCTCTGCTCAGCTATGCACCGAGCTTCAGATCTGATCCTTGTTATTGTCTGCAGGTCGAAGTTTTTAATTTTTTTAATCATTCTGGATGACCTCTGTTGTCTACCTTGACTCACGCTTTCACACCTGGTTTAGGCTGCACAATCGGGCCTGCAATCTGGTTCAAGCCTGTCCAGGTCTGTATCCTGGTTCTGGCCTCCACCCTGGTCTGCACCCTGGTCTGCACCCTGGTGTGCACCCTGGTCTGCACCCTGGTCGGCACCCTGGTCGGCAGGCTTCCCCAGTTCGACCAAGGTTGTTCCTGGTATAGACAGGTATAGGTAGGTTGTTCCTGCCATAGACAGGTATAGGCACTGTTCTGTTCAAATTGCACCGCCTCATCTGAAGAGGCTAAACCCTCGACAAAACCTGCGGAAGCTGCACCTGCGCAAGGATGGAAAAACAAAATAAAATAAAAACGGGCAGCGCCGACAAGGCAACACCGCCAAACTATGTGGCGAACGGGCAAGTGGCATGAAACGACAACACAAGTGGATGAGCAGCAAGGCAGTTTAGAGGCAGGCTCAGGCAGCGAAGGACCGGGGTCAGTGTGCCGACAACGCAGCCAAACTACGTGGCGAACAGACACGCCGCATGGAAAGACGAGGCGAGTAGATGCACAGCAAGGCAACAACACAGTGAAGCACAGCACTACCGTCTTCACCCAAATAGAACGCCCGGTCGTTATAGCTGTGCATTTGATGCAACTTTCAGTCCGGGTACGGCCATAATTACCGGGTATTCTATTCGGGTGAAGACGGTAGGTGATGCGTATAAAGCAGCCGGTCGTACCTGCTGAACAGTCAAGCTGCATGAAAAAGACAACGCAAGTGGGATAAACAGCAAGGCATTGGATGATTCGAGGCAGCGAAGAACCAGGGCCACTGTGCCGACAAAGCAGCCAACCTACGTGGCGAATAGTAGAAGATGGGCACTGAATATAGTAGAAGATGCAAGGCTGGCCACGATTTTATTTATTTATTTGTGTGTGTGTGTGTGTGTGTGTGTGTGTTGTTTTAAAAGACCCCAGATTTTTTATATATATATTTTTTTGTGTGTGTTTGCGTGTGTGTGTGTGTGTGTGTGTGTGTG